CCAATGCTTTCTGCTCCCTATACCTACACTCAGATCATGGATTCCAATGAGATAGGGAGGATTTGTCAAACATTGATTTCAGAGGGATTGATGATATATAGCCAACAGGCTGGGGAAGTGATTTCAGTGACCATGACTGAGTCACAAGCATTACAGAGGATTTCGGTATATGTGGCCGGAAATAAAATGATAGCGGCCTTAGAGGCTAAAGTGAAGTATATGGCTGTCAAAGCCAATGAGCAAGTGCCACTTCCAGAAGGCCATGAGAAAGATTTCGACTTAGAACCACCTGACTCAAGAGAGGAGGAAGTGCAAGGCCAGAGGCTAGATGCCATCTACGATGATGAGCCTTTGGGTTTTGAGAAGGATCCGCTGGCAAGCAATATTAAAATTCTAGTGCAATATCCTCTTGAAGAGATAGACTTAGGCAAAGGAATGGTGAAGAGACCAACATATATCAGTGTAAAGATAGATCCAGAGCTCAGAGTCAAAGTAATCCAATTGCTAAAGGAGTTTAAAGATTGCTTTGCATGGGATTATGACGAAATGCCTAGTCTCGACAGAGGATTGGTGGAGCTTCAACTACCAATAAAGCTTAGGAAAAAGCTTGTCAAGCAAAATCTAAGGCATTTTGCACCAGAGATCTTGTCGAAGATCCAGATGGAAGTCGAAAGACTGCTGAAATACAAGTTCATCCGAACAACCAGGTATGTCAAATGGTGCATTGATTTTAGAGATCTAAATGCTGCAACACCCAAGGATGAATATCCAATGCCTGTGGCGGAAATGCTTGTTGATTATGCCGCTAGGTTCGAGTACATGAGTATGCTTGATAGATACTCTGGGTACAATCATATTTTCATTGCTGAAGAAGATGTGTCAAAATTAACATTTCGATGCCCTGGGGCTTTAGGCACTTACGAATGGGTAGTAATTCCTTTTTGCCTAAAAAAGGCAGGGGCAACATATCAAAGAGAAATGAATTCTATCTTCCATGATTTTATTGAAACTTTCATGCAGATTTATATTGACGATATTGTTGTCAAATCTGTTTCAGGGAAGAATCACATAAACCATCTTCGACAATCCTTTAAAAGGATGAGAAGCTATGGTCTGAAGATGAATCCTCTAAAGTGCTCTTTCTGCGTAAAGGCATGGGACTTATTAGGCTTTATGGTCTACAAAAAAGGAATTGAGGCCTTTTTGGAGGCGAAAACGCCAACAAACAAGAAGGAATTGCAATCTACTTTAAATTTCTTGAGGAGATTTATATCCAACTTAAGTGGAAAAATGCAAGCCTTCTCACCCTTACTTCGACTTAACAAAGGATGATTCAAATGGGGGAAAGAACAACAAGAGGCCTTTGACAAAATCAAAGGATACCTCACCAAGCTTCCTATTCTGGTGCCTCCTTGTAGAAATAGGAGTATGAGATTGTACACAGCTGCATCTGATAGAACTTTAGGGAGCATGTTGGCTCAAGAGGATGATAATGGTGTCGAAAGGCCCATCTATTACCTCAGCAGAGTTTTAAATGATGCAGAAACTAGATATAGCGAAGTTGAAAAACTATGTTTATGTATTTACTTCTCATGTACAAAAATCAATAAATATATTAAACCAAATGATGTTTATGTTTCGTCTCATTTCGATGTTCAAATATATGTTATCGAAACCCATCTTGCACAATCGAATTGGCAAATGGGCACTTGCATTAACTGAGTATTCACTAACCTTTATACCTCTCAAGGCTGTAAAACAACAAGTGGTAGAAGACTTTATAGTCGACCACTCAATAAATGAAGAATCCTTAAATTACTTGGAGATTGAACCCTGTAAGTTATACTTCGACGGTTCCAGTCATAAAGATGGAACTGGAGTGGGAGTTCTAATTATTTCTCCAAATAAAATTCCAACAAAATTTAAGTACATGATTGAAGGTTCTTGTTCGAACAATGAGGCTGAGTATGAAGCTTTAATTGTTGGCCTTGAAATCTTGTTGGAATTGGGGGCAACTCGAGTTGAAATAATGGGAGACTCATAGTTAGTCATAAGGCAAGTTACAAAAGAATACAAATATATAAGAGAAAATTTGATCATGTATTTTGTAATAGCCAATCGCTTGTTAAAAAAATTTGAAGTGATCAATATCCGACATATAAAAAGATTAGAAAATCAAGTGGCTAATGACTTAGCGCAAATCGCATCTGAGTATAAAATTTCAAAAGAAAAATTTCAACAAGCGATCGAAGTTAGAGGAAGGGTAGTATCAACCAAGCTGTCTCCAACAGATTTGGAAACAACAAAGCTGGGGTACGCTGACCAAGAAAACTTCAAGATTTCGTTCATAGACAGTCTAGCAGAGTAAGATTGGAGAAAGCCTATAGTATATTATTTGCAAAGTCCAACAACTTCGACAGAACGAAAGACAAAGTATAGGGTGTTAATTTATATTCTAATGGGAAATGAGTACTACTAAAATGCCTAAGTGAAACAGAGGCATATATATCCCTTTTGACTACACATGCTGGAGCATGTGGAGCACATCAAGTAGGCCATAAAATTAAATGGTTGTTGTTTCGACAAGGATTATATTGGCCTACTATGTTGAAAGATTGTGTTGAGTTTGAAAAAGGCTGCCAAGAATGTCAAGTAAATACAGGCATCCAGCATGTACCTGCAAGTGAACTTCACCCAATTATGAAACCTTGGCCTTTTAGGGGATGGACTTTGGATCTTATTGGAGAGATTCAACCAGCATCATCTAAACTCCAAAAATATATATTGGTGGGCATTGACTACTTCACTAAATGGATTGAAGCAATTCCTTTAGTCAATGTAGACCAAGAAGATGTCATTGAATTTATTCAAAAGAACATTATATATAGGTTTAGAATCCATGAGACAATAACAATTGATCAAGGATCAGTATTTACTGGTCGAAAAATGCAAGAATTTCCTACATAAATGGGATTCAAGTTGTTAACATCTACACCTTATTATGCGCAAGGCAATGGCCAAGTTGAAGCGGAAAATAAGGTAGTGATTAGCTTAATAAAAAAGCATGTAGGAAAAAAGCCAAAGAATTGGCATAAGACGTTGGACCAAATCTTATGGGCATGTGGAACTTCTCCTAAAGAAGCTACTAATACGACACCATTTCGATTAACCTATGGTCATGACGTAGTGTTGCCAGTAGAAATTTTTCTGCAGTCAAGAAGAATTCAGAGACATCAAGATATTCCTTCTGAATCTTATTGGAATATGATGTTAGATGAACTGGTTGATTTGGACGAAAAAAGACTGATAACTTTCGAACTCTTAAGGATACAGAAGAAAAGAGTGGAAAATATTATAATAAGAGAGTAAAACCCAAGACATTCTTTCCTAAAGATTTGGTGTGGAAGGTAAGTCTCCCAATGGATCGAAAGGATAAGAGCATGGGAAAATGGTCTCCTAAATGGGAAGGACCTTTTAAGATTATCCAAGTATTTTCTGGTGGTGCCTATGAGATCGAAGAATTAAGTGAAGATAAAAGACTCTTGAGAGTAAATGGTAAATATTTGAAAAAATATAGACCTGCACTTCAAGAAGTTAAAATAATCAACAATTGATCTCAGCCGAAGTATATAGCCAAAATGGAGAATTCATTATGTGACCAAGAAATGGACAAGTGTCGAATAGAGACATCAAAAAATGACTATTTCTTCTAGTGTCGAAATTGACATTCTTGGGGGGCAATTTGTTAGCTCCTAAATTCGACACTCACATATATTGGCCTTATTGGCTAAAAATAGATTGAAGAAGTCTAAGCTGAAGACACTTTGACAGAAGAGCCTATGAGAGGAGTTGTGTCGAAGTCATCCTTGCTAAGAAGGAAAAAACACTTAGAGAATTTTTTAAGTTAAAGATAGTTTCGACCGAAAAGCTCTTGTATCAGCAGCAAGTAGATTTGAATCTGAGGAAAGGAGGGAAAGGCAATTCATTTGGCAGTTAGGAAAAGTGACATGGCGTGAAGATATGGGTCGAAGAGCATGCAGAGGACATGTGTCCTCATCCTAGAACAAAGCAATTGTTCGACAGTTACTTATTACTAGTATAAATATAGGAATTTTGTGTAGAATTTCGCGTGTTCAACTCATTGTACAAGTCACTCAATTTTATTCAAGTATCCGCTGTGAGAGAAAGAATATTGAGAATGTACGTTTGAATCACCATACTTTATTGAAATCAAAGTCTTTATATTTATTTACAATCCTTGTCATTTAACATTTTTCTGCAAACTTTACCATTACAGCCTTTTAAATTACTGCAAATCTACTTTATCCTGTACTTTACTTGCGTTTTTACCAAGTCTTTACCTTCATCATGTGCATTTAAACCTATCCAAGCCTTTACTCTTAGTGTCCAGTCGAACTTGTTCGTTAACAATGTTAAGACTTCTTATCAAATCCCAAAAACACTTATCATATGTTCTAGGATCAAACTGATTGATCCTGCAAGTAACCAAAATAACCTTTTTTGGAAGATCAGCGGCTGTTTACCAATTTTCAGGGTAAATAGGGACGTAAACCTTTTAAGGTTTTAAATTGTTGGTATGAACATGACGATTTTTTTTTAAATTTTGTCAGATCAAAATGGAATGGCTTTAATTTGTATGGAAGAAGTGCTTTCTCTTGAAGGAGAAATTAGAATGCTAAGAGATAGGTTAAGGTGGTTGAATCATAGAGTTTTACCTAGGTGGATTTTAAGATTAAGGATAAGGTGGATGAAATTAATAGCTTAGAAGAGGATGATTTATATATTAGTAGCCAATTAAATCAGGAAATGTTAGAGAGAAGGAAATAAGTTCAATATACAATTCAGAGGAGCTTACATTACAAGGAAAGTATATTAAAACAAAAAGCAAGGCAGAAGTGGATTTAGGAGGGGGACATAAATTCAAAATATTTTCACTCGATGAATCCATATATAGGAATAATTCCATTGTATCAATACAAATGGATCAAGGGGTGGTAGAGGGTGTGGCTGAGGTGAAAAGGGTGGTAAAAGACCATTTTGAGGGTAGGTTCAACAAGCAAGAGATTCCAAGACCTAAGCTAACAGGATTGGAGTTCAATAGATTGTCTGATAAGGAAAGGGTAATGCTGGAAGAGGAATTCTCTAGGGAGGAGATCAAGGAGGTAGTATTTAGCTGTAAGGGGGATAGAAGTCCTAGACCTGATGGATTTAATCTGGGTTTTATCAAGAAATGTTGGGAGATAGTGGGAAATGAGGTTGTTCTTTGTATACAAGACTTTCACCTTAAAGATTCACTGCCTAGAGCATTGTCAGTCATATATGGCCTTAATTCCCAAGGTGGGTAGTCCTCATATGCTAGAGGGGTATAGACTCGTATGCCTAGTGAGGGGGTATTTATAATATTATTTCTAAGTTGCTTGCATCCAGATTGTCAAAACTCATTGACAAGCTTACTTCTAAGTCTCAAACTGCCTTCATTCCTGGTAGACAGATTCTAGATGGGATCCTTGTTACAAACGAGATTATAGACTTTGCAAGAAGAAATAAGAAGGAGTGTCTATTATTTAAAGTGGACTTTGCTCAAACATATGATTGTGTGGATTGATCTTTTTTAAAAGGGGCGTTAATTAAGACGGGGTTTGGGGAAAGATGGCTGAAGGGGATGGATGCAGGGGTATTTAATAACAACATGTCAATTTTGGTGAATGGGAGTCCTTCTTATGAATTTAAAGCATCCAGAGGGCTAAGACAAGGATAGCCTTTGTTTCCATCTCTCTTCATAATAGTTGTTGAAGGTTTTGCTGCAATGGTTAGAATGTCTATTAGTAGTGGTGGATTTTTCAGGTTTTAAGATCAGTGATGGAATGTCATACGATCTGCTCCAGTTTGCTGATGATACTATATTAATGTGTGAGGGTTCGTGGAGGAATTTGTGGGCTATCAAAGTGGTATTAAGAGGATTTGAAATGGTTTATGGTTTGAGAGAAAGCATGTGGAAGAGAAAATTTTATGGTATTGGTCTGGAACATACATTCCTACAGGAAACTTGTCAGTTTATTTGGTGCAAACTAGAGGTTTTCCTTTTAAATTTCTTGGTTTAATTGTTGGAGGAAATCATAGAAGAGTGAATTTATGGAATATGATTATGTCAAACATGAAATCAAAACTATCTCCATGGATTAGAAGACTGTTGTCAATGGGTGGTAGAGTAACGCTAATTAATTAAGTTTTATCTAATCTGCCAGTGTATTATTTGTCATTATTTAAACTTACTTCTAAGGTGGGAGAGGAGATTATTAAAACATAAAGAAATTTTCTGGAATCGTTCAGATGATAAGAAAGGGGTGGCGTGGATTAGTTGGAAAAAAATATGCAAACGGAAAGATGAAGGTGGCCTTGGAATTAAAGATATGGAAATGTTCAATAAGGCTTTACTCTCAAAGTGCTTATGGAGATTTCTTAGTGGTGAAAATGCAATTTGGAAAGGTGTATTGAAGGTAAAATATGATGTACTAGCTGATAGAATTTTGTTGAAAAAAAGGCCAGGTAAGAAAAGGTTGGAGTCACTCTTGTGGAAAGGTTTGATGCTAATTGGAGATTCATTAGAAAATAAAGGGTTTTCCCAACTACTTTCATTTAAACTAGGTGATGGCGCCACAATTCCTTTCTGGTCTATGCAGTTGTCGATTGTAGACCATTAAGAGATGCTTTCCCAAATTTGTATCAGGGGCAGGGCAGGGGTTGAGGTGTGTAAGTTCTATGGGGTCGTGGGTTGATAATAGGTGGTTATGGCATATTGAAGGTAATATTGGAGAGGACAAATGAGAGGGAATTAGTGAAAAAAAGGAACTGATGGTGATTTTGGCTGACATTCAACCTAGAATTAATGTGCAGGACAAAGTGGTATGAGAATTTGATAGGCAAGGTGATTATTCAGTGTGGTTATATTATGCCAAACTTGTGAGTGATCCATAGGAGGAAATGGAGAATGTAAGGACTTTAGAGGTTTTAAAATTTTTTTGGAAAGTGTGGGTTCCTTTGAAAGTTAATATTTTTGGGTGGAGATTACTAAAGAAAAGGTTACCAACAAGGAATTAGCTAGTAGCAAAAAGAATTATACAAAACAATAATGATAGTTGGTGCATATTTTGTTGTATGCATATGGAGGACTGTAACTGTTAGATATGTGGTTTTATGGTTGGAAATAATTTTGATAAAACAAGGTGTTGACAACAATCATATCAAAACATGTTTCATTGTGAAAAATAGGTATTGTAGCCTAATGTTAAACAAGATGTCATAACATCTTGACCAGCTGGTACATCAGTGTATACAAGTACTTATTTGACAGATGTTCTATCAGATGTTTTAACATGTTGCAACAAAACATCATATCAGTGCAGCAGAATATTTATCCTTGAAGATTTGATTAAAAAATATGATATTCTAGAGGTTTCTAGTACTCATAACAGGTGCAGGAAATCAAGGATTGCTAGGAATAATAGCAGATTTGATTTATTTCATAAAAAGGATCTTTGAGACTTTTTAGGAAATATTTGAAAGATTTGTTTTTGTTTCTATTTTCGTGGAGAATATTTTGCAGGGATTTAGAGCTGAAGATTATATTTGATTGAAGAGTACAAGCCCAACTACAGAAGTCTATATAAGGAGTCGACCAAGACCTAGTTTTTAAGCATAGTTTTTTATTGTAAAACTTGTGAAAAATAAGGGTTTATGGTTTCATAGTTCCTTAGGTTTTCCGTGTGTTTATTTGTATGTCCTCATGTGTCTTTGATGCATTTGAGTTTACTATTGTTACTTGTTCATTAATTTATTGTTCTCCTCGAAGCTTGTAAGCAAGAGTTGAGTATTGTTCTTAGTGATGCTTTTAAGAAAATTAATTAGTTGTAATTTGGAAGTGTGTTCTTCCCTTTTGGTTTCTTGTGACATTCCATGGGACTGGGATTGTTTGATATCACTGTGGTGATTGGGAGTGAGAGGGGTTCTCATATCCAGGAAGTGCCTAGGTAGAAGTTGCACTGGGTTGGGATAATGTGAGAAGTGTAAACTAGGATTGTTTAGCTTCGAATTGATACTACTGATAATGTATTTCCTTCCTGGATTGATAGCCCCTATAGTAGGTGAGTTAGCACCGAACTGGGTTAACAATTCCTTGCGTTTTCTCTATATTTCTTTACTTTATCTTCCTGCATAATCTTTTGGTTTTTAGCAAGTTTGTTTGCTGTCTTCAGTTGTAAAAACATTTGTTTTGACATTGTGCATTGTTAAGACATCAGTCTTGACATCTGATATTGTGTGTGCCAGAATTTCAATTGACATAAAGAGAAGACAACCTATTCACTTCACTGGGTGAGATTCATGGATATATTTTCTGGCACTATGGAGAAAGAAGAAGGATATAACAACATACCACCTATGTTGGATGGTTCAAACTATAACTGGTGGAAAGTCAGAATGGTAGCCTTTATGAAATCTATGGACCACAAAACATGGAAAGTTGTTTTGAAAGGATGGAAGCATCTTGTTGTGAAGGCAATTGACAAAGATGGGAAAGTGACTAAAATTGAAACTATAAAACCTGAAGAAGAATGGGATGAAAATGATGATAAGGAAGCCATTGGAAATTCCAAGGCTTGAAATGCTCTATTCAACGGAGTAGACAAAAATGTTTTCAGTTTGATTAATAGATGTATTGTAGCCAAGGAGACTTGGGAGATTCTCAAGAAAACTTATGAAGGTATCTCCAAAGTGAAGATTTTAAGACTTCAGCTTCTCACTTCCAAATTGAGAACTTAAAGGTGAATGATGATGAGAAAATTCAATAATATCAAATGAAGATTCTTGAAATTACTAGTGCATCAAGTGCATTGGGAGAGAAGGTGTCAGAAGCCAAGGTGGTCAAAAAGATCCTTAGGTCCTTTCCTAGGAGATATGACATGAAGTTCACATAAATTGAAGAAGCTCAGAACATCAATAACATGAGAGTTGATGAACGTATTGGGTCACTTTAAACATTTGAATTGGATATTGGTGACAAGGCTGAGAAAAAGAACAAAAGCATAGCTTTTGTATCCAACGTTGAAGATGATAAAAGTCAAGATGAGACAGACACTGATAAGGGTTTGTCTAATACCATTGTTCTACTTGGGAATTAATTAAATAGGGTATTAAAAAGATTATACAGGAGAGAGAGGCTAGATGTCAAGAACATCTCTTATGACATCAGTCACAATCTTGATTCTCACAAGAAAATAAGAATAAAAGAGAAGTTAAGTCAAAGTAGAGGCATTCAATGCTTTGAATATGAAGGATATGGTCATATTAGGCTTGAATGTCCCAACTTCCTTAAGAAACAACAAAAGGGTTTCACTTCATCTTGGTCTGATGATGATAAGTCTGAAGATGAAGATAATTATGAAGTTGCCATACTTGTGGTGGCTTTATCTGGCATATGGGAAGATGAAGAGTGGAGGTTTTGATGAGAATGCTTTTTATGAAGACCAGGATATGACAAGTGTGATGAAAGCCTCAAGAGATAGGAAAAACAAAGGAAGATCATTGTTGATTTGGAAAATGAGAAGAAGAAACTCTTATGTATTGTCTCTCATCTACAAAGTGAGGTAACTCGTTTAAACTCCACACTTGATAACTTGACAGATTCCATAAATATGGTGAAAAAGGATGAGAATGCCAGAGTTCATTATCAATCTGATAATAAACTAAGAATAAGGACTGATGAGAAGCTTTTCCTTCTGAAAAGAATAAAAAGATCAACATGTCGAAAACCATGTTACAACATCCTGGTAAATATGATAAATCTTTGAATCAACATCAGTCTACTTGAAGGTGTCACTATTATGGTGAGTCTGGTCATATAAATCCTTTCAGTTTCAAATTGTATAGAGATCAAAGAACTCCAGTTTGTTTCAAGGCTAATACAGTGAGAAAAAAGAGAAGTGTTGAAAATAGGGATGTTAACCTTATAACACATACTTCTTTGAGAGACTCAACCAGCAAAGACTAGTACTTTGACAGTGGATGCTCTAGACACGTGCTCTGTTGTATGGGGTTTTCCTTGAGGGGGGAGAACTAATTGTGTCTGACATGGGGAGTACTGGACCTGTCTAATTGTACAAGCTTCTGAGCTATGTTTTCTTTATAGAATTTACATGGTTTCATGTAACTTGTGTTTGTGATTTTATTCCTCTCTCCGGGATATTTGGTCTTTGGTTATTTTTGCCAAAATTTGCCAAAGGAGGAGATTGTTAGGTCTATGATTTTATGGCTGGTGTTGTACCCCAAAATATGCCCTCTCATTTCTCAAGAATTTTCTCACAGGATCTTCCATGGCTCAAGTTTGCAGCACTGATACATCAATTTAGGTTTGGAATTGGTATAAGGGCAAAATGGTCAAAATACACACTGAAAAGTCAAACTTTGACTTTTTGACCAAAATCAAGTTTCAGGAATCACATTTCATCAAGACATGTTAGAATATGAAGTTGGTTCATCAAGAAAATCAAAAGTAAGAATTACTTTGGAAAAATCAAAGTTCTAAACACATAGAAATTTTTCTAAGTGTTAAGAAAGTATGATAAGTTCAGAACTTTTGGCCAGATTTTCATCATGATACAAGATGATTCACGAAGAACTTCTGACACAAGAGTTATAGATCTCATTGAGATCTAAAACATTGCAGAACAGAAATCCTCCTAGAAATGCTGGGGTTTCATGTTATGAATCCTTGAAGACACGTCCATGAGACTAAAACATTTAGTAAATTCTGATCATATCCAAGTCAGAATTTGATTAGAACTTCTGGGCCAGTTTTCACGCAGGTACAATCAGAGTTTGCAAAGATTATTCAAAGAGGGGTTACAAAGCATGTTACAGGCTTTCTGAAAAGTCTGAGAACTCTTTCAGATCATGCTGGAGTAGGGAGAAACAAAGATCAAAAGTTGGACATTTGTTCTTAATCTAAGTCACGTTTATGCTGAACTTCTGATCAAGTTTCAAGATATGCTGCATAATCTCATGTTGCAGGCCTTCTTGCTTGTTAAATCTCATCATAATTTAATTCTTACACCAACTTTTGAGTCCTTATCCCAATGTCTAAGCCTTTATCAAAAGGATTTTCCCACGTGTGGCATAAAAGTACCACTATTGTCCTTGAAAAGTAAACTTTTATACAAAGTTTATTTTAAGCCCATACTTTACTTTGTTTCTGAGTGTACTTCCCCACAAATCATGCCTACAAACTCAGATTAAGCGTGTTTAAAGCTACTAACCACCCTACATTGCCTTGAAACCATGCTTGTCTAAACTTGCTTCAAAAACAAGTAAACGATCCATAACACATGATGGTTGTACTCCCGACTTCTCCAAGCCTCTAAATCCTTTGCCTATAAATTAAACTTCATTTGCAAACTGAAGGAGGATTGAAAAAAGCCCTAAAACCTTGATGGAAATTCCCAAGAATCTGAAACTACAACGCAAATACAAAACCTACTAGTTTCTGATTTTTGCATCCAAACTCTAATTTTCCTTGTGCGTTTCTTGGCCAAATCATCCACACAGTTTCTGGTATACACGTAGAAGCTTTCCCAACTTCTGTTTTCAAACTGTAATACAGTATTCACCAATCTCCATTTCAAAAATCAGAACTTTGCATCTTGACTGCTCTAGAGCATTCCAACCATCCATAACTCAAGCTAAGGGTTGCTTTAGCTTCCTGAGAACTTGAGGAAGCTGACTAGAACATCACAACAATCTGAACCAGGCTCTAACTCACAGAACAATTTCCA